CCTGGGAATTTCTTGCATGTTGATTGATGTGGCCATACTTAAACTGATGTAAGTTCCTAAGATTGTAAGTTCAGAGTATATTCTCCAGTAGAAGTTTTATTATATTTGATAACTTTAGCCATGTAACCTGTAATGGATAAAGTTTATCTAAAAATCTCACTTAAACACTAAAGGTTAATGCCAGTTTTTACATACATGGTGCAATTCAGGTTGGCTTGAAAAGCACTTTGGATCGTGTGGTGGTTGCATAAAGAATTTTGCAGTAGATGAAATTGTTTTAATTAGAATTTGGAAAGAAGCTCCATAGCACATATTTTTATGTAGTTCAGAGCTATGGAAACCCTGAGGAACTTGCTGCTTTTTCTTCCAAATGCTGCTTAGATGGTGTTGAAATGTGCACAACTCCTACAGAAACTTGGTGGCAACACCGAAGGTATAGAAATAATGAAGTACTGTATTAACTTAGCAATTCTCCCATCCCAGATTCCATTGAGGTTTATTATGACATGTCTCCACCTTTTTCTGGCCATTAGATCTCCTCTGGTTGGTGCATGCACATATTTTAGGTGAAAGGATGCATGCTTACCTGCAATGTACATTTGATTTACCTGAACTAAAGGGCAAACTGCAGATACTAAAGAGGCTCTTCACAAGCACATGGTCCCGTTTCAAGTTTGCTTTCTAAATTGGTGGGTTGTTTTTTTCCTTTGGTCTTTTTCTCTTGCAGTGACATCCCTTTATACCTTTAGCTGAGGACTTAAAGCTTTTCTGTCAGAGGAAATGAACGTGGACTAAACTGGGATGGGAACTTCCATGCCCTGAGCTGGTCTGCACCATGTGCCTGGTGGCATCATTCAGCTGTTGTGGTGTAACCCAGGAGGCTTCTGGAGGTCCCTTCAGGTCAGGACTAGATCTGCCAGCACTGGAAGTTCTCCTTCAGTAACCTGATCACTGTAAAGTCAGATCATACTTACCCAGGCCCCAGAGCACCATTTGAATGGACAAAGGGATAAGCTCCTGCCTTCAGGAGGCTGCTTCAAGGGGTGTGCAGAATGCTCTGCAGAATTTTAACATCCCATTTGCTTTCTCCAGGACTGTTTGTTGAAGGAAGCAAGGCTTCCTTGTCAGGTGGGGAGAAGAACCAGTGTGGGAGTCTACCTTGAGCCAAATTGGATGAGCTTTCCCTCATCTCCCAGTGCTGCAGGTGGGCAGCCTGCCTGGTGGCCTGATGTCCCTGTCCCCAAAAGCACATCACTACAGCAGGTGGAATGTCACCCTGCAGCCAGCTCAGCTGTGCCCAGACATGTCCCCTGTGCTCCCCAGAGCTGGTACTTCAGAGCTCCTGGCTTTCCTGATCATTGTTGGGTTTGTTCTGATGTGCTGTAAAATGGTATGTTCAGGTCAACACACTTCAGCAGATCTGGAATGAGCTGTGAAGTATCTTTTTTTCAAAAATCTCTAGTAATCCAAACCTCATGTACCTGTAGATTAAAAGAGTTGCAACCCCCCCCCCTGCTTTGTGCTAGCACAGTAGTCAGTGTATGTTAATGGGTACTCTCCTTCCATGATAGACTTGAAATTTCACTTCCAGATACTCAGATTGATCTGTAAATGCTACCTTGCAGCTTGTCAGCAAGTTCTGCTCTTTTAGCCAAATCTTACCTCTAAAATTGGGTTTCTCTGTTATTTTTTCCTCATCCTATGGCTGGCAGTAGCACATGCTTTCCTAGCACAGAACTTGGCTTTTCATTGCTACCTCCTTTACATCTGGTTGGTTGTTGTTTTTTTTTCTGGTTTTATTTATGAGTTCCTCAGTGGAAAAAAAAATAAATCCCTGTATTTCTTTTGTTTTTAATATATTAAAATTTAGTAATTCTGGATTCTTCCAAAGTTCTGCTGCATGGCTTATGGCAAATGTTACTAGCTGGTGTTTATTCCATTAACAAAAATCAGGCTATGTGCATTCAGAGACCCTTATTTAATTGGTGCTTTTCCTTTCCCCACCTTTTGTTCAGTAACTTCCTTTAATCCCCCCCCACCTTTTTTTTTTTTTTTTTTTTTTTTTTAGGTTTAATTTAGTGTCTGTCACCTTGTTCTAAGCTGCTATGACATGGATCATCTATGGGGAGTCCCCCTGCCTGCCTTGGGTGTGACAACAGTAGGAACCATCACACAAATCTTGGGCAGCAAGTGTTCATCTCCTGGTCCTTTGTCCAGTCATTTGCTATTGGGGAGTGCAGCTGCTGCTTCCTGCTGCTCTGGAGGCTCTTGATGCTGCTCTTCCATGGTCACAGATCTTCTCCTTGGTCCTTGCTGATGTTTGCACTTAAATCCACCAGCAGCAGGAGCTCGTGATGCTGTGCTCTGGTACCAACCATGTCCTTCAGTTTGTAACCCTGGGGAGCTCTCAGTGTCTTCTCCTGAGGAGCTTGTAGCACTTCAGAGGAGCTGTCTGTTTGCATCCGTCCTTGGGTGTGGGTGGGAGGGAGGTTGGGTGTTGGCTGAAACCCGTAGGATCTGCTGCTGTCTCTGGGGTCTGAGCTCTGCCTCTCACTGTCCTGGGGCGGAGTCCTGCCTGAGGAACACACAAGATCCTGCCACACAGGGAGGTACTTGCACTCACCTGGGATGCAACTGCTCTTTAAAAAAAACCCACATGAAAGTACCAGGTAGTTTGTTGGGTTTTTTTTTAACACAAATCTAAACTTTAATGACAAGTGAATGTTTTCTTGGTTTTTACCATCATTTCACTGTTTCCCAGACATATTTTTTTTTGTACCTAACCTGTTTTATCCTCCTGGTTTCTCATGGTGTTCATGGCTAATCCTGTTGGACAGTGACAGAGAGTGGGTGCTCCTCCAGGTGACCTCTTTTTTAACATGTTTGCAGCTGGGAAGGAGGTTTCAATTTAATTTAAACCAAACAAAATACAGTTTTGTAACTTTGACACTTATTGGTTTCAGCTTTCTTTTAGTCCCTTTCCAGACCAAGCTGTGCTCCATCTAAGGTGTGTGTGCTGCACCCTGACAGGGTGGGGAGGAAAGAAGGGGCCTTTGCTCTAGCAAGGCTTGAAGCTCCTGGCACCTCCAGGCAGGACTTTGGCTTTGTTTCCTAGCAGTTTCATGCTTCAGGGCTTGAGCAACCCACACAACTTGTGTAGCTGCCTTTGGAGCTTAAACCAAAGTGATCCTTTTCCCACCTGAGCTGCATCTGAGGTGCCTCTTGATTTAATACACTGACAAGTTTGAAGTTTACAGCATGTGGGCCAGCAGCACCTGCAAGTCTGGGTAGGAAAAGCTCAGCGTTTCCCTAGCACTGCAGCTTTAGAACTGACCTGCAGGCAGTGAGCTTGCCCCCAGGTCCTGTGGGAGCCAGGGACAAACCACAGCTCTGGCAGTGTCACCCTCCTGGCTCTGGCAGTGTCACCCTGCCGGCTGTGACACCACGGGCTCCACCTGCTGCTCTAGCCAAAACATACCGAGCCAGGCTGAAATGAACTTACCTGCTCTCTGCTCTTTCCATTTTGGAGGAGGGCACAGAGTTACATTTCTGTACCTCACTCTGCATTCTGTGTCCTCACCTGGAAGCGAGAGCTCTTACCTTTCAGAAATTACAGAAATTTTATCACTTTTTATTGAAAACTGCACTGAACGCTAAATGTCCACCTTTACAATAAACAAACACAATAACGGTAACACACTAAAACAAAACATACTGCTGATAGCCATTGGTTTTGTTTCATTATTTTTTTTTTCTGTTTGGGACAGCTTAAGATTTCTTTCTCTTTTTTTTTTTTTGTCACAGAAACAGGAATGTACCCATACAAAGGCTCAAAATTGGCCATCTTTTTAAAAACAAAAAAAGGCGATGATTCACAAAAGACTATGAATATAACATGTAACTAGTTGATACAAATCTAATAGGATTTGTTAAAATCAGTCACATCTAATAACACATTTTTGAAGTGTTCTTGTATAAAATATCATGTGAAGAAGACTTTTTATCAATGTCTAAAAAAGTGGGTTTTGTTCATAGACAGTCTGACAAGTTACCATAAAAAGTGTTTCCTGAGACATAAGGAAATGCAACATTATTCTTGAACCCTTTCCAGCTCAAGACTTTTTTTTTTTCCACTTGATAAAATAGCTGCAGATTTAAAACTGAGAAAATATATTTGAGTACAAATAGTGTGTGAAACTTAATACTTTCTTCTTTTATTTTTTTTGTCTTTTTTTTTTTCCTTTTTCTCTTTTTTTAGTTTTTCTTGCATCATTGCAGGGCGTAGGTGAATGCACAGCTACTTTATTCAGTGTGTTGGGCAGAGAAGAGCCTGGCAGTTTGGTGGTGGTCTGTTTGGGTTTTTTTAAGTCAGGGAGGACAGAGGTTGTTGCCAGGAGCCCTTTCTGCTCTCCCCATCCCACAGATCCCAGCTGGAATGGTTACAACTTAAACCTGGCAGGAGAACTTCTGTGGCCCTGTGAGACTGCAAAAAAGGATTGTTATTACATTTTTGTTTTGTTTCCACTTCTAAGCCAGTACTGATGGCTCCCCTTAGAAGAGGTAACCAGATACAAGAGTAAGGAAAGGGCTGAAGCCACATAATGGTTTCCTCTTACATTTCTGTTAGCTCTGTAAGGATTGCGGGATGCAGTGGTTTGAAAACAGGTGCAGAAGCCCTGTCCTTCCCAAGGAACTGAGGGAAAAACTATTCATGTGATTGATGCACAGATGAAGGAAACTTAACACACAAGAACAGAAGTTGATCATTAATGTATCACATCCTAGTTTCTTTTTTTTTTTTCTTTTTTTTGTCTTTTTTTTTCTTTTCTTTCCAGCACTTCAGGAAGCAGGTGCCTTCCTCAGGGCTTCTCCCCAGTCTTGACTGCTCTCACTTGGTTGGTAACATTGGAACATCAATGATGCGTCTGTCCAAAAATCAACATTACAAATTTAGTATCAAATTCCTTTTTTTTTTTTTTTTTAAGTTCATGTATAACTTCTTTTCCAATGTCTCTTGGTCCCAAGTTTATTGAATGGTTTTTAAATTATCTGCTATTGCTCGTTGGGATGTTCCCTGTTGTCCCCGTGTTTTGTGGGCTGGTTAGGAGATGGAGCTTGGGAAGGATGTGCCACTGTGGGAAGGTTGTGAGTGACAGGGATGCCTCCAGGAATGATGCCCTCCATAGCTGCTGGTATTCCTCCTGGCGCCACACTGACCATCCCAGGTGGATACCTGGGAGAGGGGACAGAGAGAGGCAGGTTTGTCACATCACAGCTCACCTCAGACAGCGTGAATCACCCGCCCACTGCAGAGGCTGTGGAGAAAACAAGCAGCAAAGATTCCACTTCTCTACTAGAGCTGAGGTTGGGATTTTCTTTTGACTCACAAGGGACAGCTGGAAAGGAAACAATAAATCACTGCTGCTCTGTCTTAGGCGAGTGTCCTCCACTGCGGTGCCAGGGCGGGGTCTTGTTCTGTACCTTCTAACAGCTTGTTGAGCCACTTGCTGAGCCTTTCTCTTTAGAAAAATGGGGTAAGGAATCATGGCTGCTCTCTGAAATGCCAGCATGCTGCCTCAATCACCCCTGCCTGTCAATACCTTGGAACACCCAGACTTGGTTTTTAGTTCTCTAGAAAGGATGAGCTGCATCTTCCTCGTGTAACCAGATGGCACAGCTGAAACATGGGGTTGGATCTAGTCCCTCTTCCTTTCTAGGAGCAGGGTGAGTTATGGATATGCCAAGAAATGACACTGAGTTTGATAAAATGACACTGAGTTTGAGAAATGAGAATTTCTTGACCTGTCCAGAGGGAAGATGTGACATGGAGCAATGAGGGAAAAACCCTCTGGAGTGGGGGGACTGAGGGATCTTGCCACAGGCAGTTCCTGCTGCCACCACTACCTCAGGGAAAAGCAGAGGGAGAGCAGGGAAGGGAAGGGAGGTTTTCTTTATCCAGGAAGGGGCTGAGCTGACCCCAGCTTACAGGGGTCCTGGCTCCTGAGGAGCTTAGCAAGGATGAAGCACCGTGCAGAGGTGAGGCCTGGAAGCCATGGCTTCTTCCCAGCTTAAGAGCCTTGCCCGTGCACGTCCGAGCAGTTGCAAGCAGGTCCCAGGGTGATGCTTTCACCAGGTTTGGATGGTTCAGTCCTCACGTTCTGCTGGGCAAAGTGAGCAGCTGCTGCCTGACCTGCAGGTGGGTGTGAACACGCAGGGCCATGACACGTGCTTGCCCAGCTTCCTGCCTGCCTCTGCTCCTCACCACCACCTGATGTGCCCCGTGGGTTTCTCCTGTAGCTCAGAGTCCTTCTGGCCGTGCTGCTACACTGAAGGCTGCCCCTGCTGCAGCTGAGTCCTCACGCCTGATGTCTTTTTTCACTGTGCTTTGAGCCAGCCCATGTGGAGCACTAAGTAATGCTGATCTCGGGCATTTGGGTGGAAAGTACAGACCTGTACTTGGTGTTTTCACCCTGGCTCGTTAACCCACAAGCTGGGCCAGGCTCACAGCCCCAGCTGTCAGTGCATGGACAGAAGTGCAGAGCAAATCTGCAATAGCTTTTTCAGTTTAGAAGTAGTCCTGCTTGTTTATGGGTCTGGGGGTGCTGGTACTTACTGAGATGCTGGCCCAGTGCTGGCTGGCCCACCAGCATGAAGGCTTGATGAGCAGGAGGCTTTAAAAACCCCTGCTTAAATCAAGCAGTGTTCCTAATCCCAGCGCTGTGACTACCTGTTCCCAAGGAGGGGCACTTTGCAGGCACTGGCTGAGCTGGTGTAGAAGCTGTTGCTGGGGCTCTAGTGCTCCCTCAATAGCTGAAATTCCCAAACCCTTCCCGTGCGGGGATCCCGTTCCCCAGCTTACCTGTACGTGGCACCATTGAGCTCTGGATGAATCGCTTGCTGGTCTATTACTGACCACGGAGCTGTTGTGACAAAGAATTCCTTATTCACGCAGTTTCTTAGGCTTTCTGGAATGCGCCCTGGAGTTGGTAACAAAGGTAAGAGGAGTCAGGTGAGGCCTGGCTTTATCACCTTCTAATACTAGGCCACTATTTTTCCATTTCTCTGTATTTGTTAGTACAGAGACCAGGGGAAACACAGAAATCCCACATCCCTCGTTTCAGGAGGACCTCTCGGCTGTCCCAAGGTACAGGCTAGAGACCAGATTCCTACTGTGAGTCCCAGCTCTCTGTTTTCAGGAACGCTGTTCCCTTGACCCCCCTGAACTCGAAGCAGAGGCTAGCCAGGCTCACAAGGGGGGGGCAATTCTTAGGACAAGAGAGCCACACATTTCCTGGAATACCATGCCCACCATTTTGCAGCAGGCTCAGGTACAGCTAGAGCTTGGCACAAGTGCCCTCAGTGCTTTGGGATGGGTTCTGGCAGGCAGGTGGTGAGGGTCTGCACCATCTTTCGAGTTAGCACCTTTAAAGGGGGCAGCAATTACTGCTTCACTGTCCTCTTCTTCCCACTCATGGACTTTGCCATGCTGCACAAGTGCCCCATGGAATAATAGTAAAAAGAAATAACCACAGAAACTGCTCACACAACTACAGACATACCCAAGTGACAGAAAAGTCAAGTTTGGTTTCTCAGCTCTTTACTGGGAAGAAAATCAGGATCAGAGCCCTGTCCCAGTCTCCTGCTGAGCCACAGGCTGGGTGAGGCCCTGCCTCTGCCCCCCCAGCTCCCATGCTAGGTGAGGAGGGAGCTCCCCAGGCTGGTACCTGTGATGGCACGCCGGATTTCAGTAGCAGCAGCTTCTCTCATCTCCAGTGAGGCCTGCTCGCTGTACCAAGCTGTGTGCGGAGTACAGATCAAATTTGGGGCATCTTTCAACGGGCCTTGAGCAAAACTGGGAGCAGGGGGGGGAAGAAAGAAAGATCAATCAATGTTTAAAGAGAGAATAAAAGTTTATGAGCAGCCAGAGACTGGTAGGCTGCCCTCTACCTATGCCAGCCCCTGCCCCAGCCCCTCGCCTGTGGCACTTGGGTTGGCGGGTGGCAGGTCTGGGCTCCCCAAGTTCAAGAGAGACAGGGAACTGCTGGAGAGAGCCCAGGGGAGGCAACAAAGATGGTTGGGAGATTGGAGCATCCCTGGTGAGGAAAGGATGAGAGAGCTGGGGCTGTTCAGCCTAGAGAGGAGAAGGCTGAGGGGAGACCTTCTTGATGCCTACAAGTATCCAAGGGTGGGTGCAGGGAGGATGGAGCCAGACTCTGCTCAGCAGTGTCCAGGGACAGGACGAGGGGCAACAGGCACAAGCTGCAACATGGGAAGTGCCATTGGAATATGAGGAGAAACTTCTTTATGGTGAGGGTGACAGAGGCCTGGGACAGGCTGCCCAGGGGGGCTGTGGAGTCCCCTTCTCTGGAGATACTCAACTACCCTGGATGCAGTCCTGGGTGATGTGCTCCATGGGATCCTGCTTTAGCAGGGGGGTTGGTTGGACTGGATGATCTCTAGAGGTCCCTTCCAGCTCTGACAAATTCTGTGATTCCCTTTTTTTTTTTTCTTTTTTTAAAAAATTGTTTCTGAAAACACAAGCAACCCACTCTTGCTGCCCCTCTCCCCAGAGAGGAACTGCAATCCCACTTATAACCAACCCCTTCCTGCTAGCAGCAGCCGGTGGGCAAAACTGCCCAAAACTCACACAGTAAAATTGTCCTTATGCACTAGTGAGCACTTGGGGTTTGGTGGTTTTTTTTAAAAAAAACATGGGCTGATTTCTTGTTCTAGGCTCCCAGAGGCCCTTTGAACACCTGTGACCCCCTGCCAGCCCACCTCCCATGGCTGCTGCAAGGGGCTGCTGCCTTTTCCCAAAGCAGCAGGATGGTTCCCCAGGGCTGGAGCTGTGTGACAGCCCCACGGACACACCGCTATGGATGCTGACCCAAAAAATAAACAGCCAGACCTTTACCTAAAGGGTTCGGACTCGTGCACGTCGAGCGCAGCCCCTCGTATCCGTCCCTCCTTCAGGGCTTGGGTTAAGGCCTTCTCGTCCACCAGGCCCCCGCGCGCCGTGTTCACCAGGAACGCTCCCTGCCTCATCTGGGGGGAGACAGAGGAGAGTCAGCTTGGGGTGGTGACCCCACTACCTACCCAGGGCAATGCCCTGGGGTGCCTCTGGCAGGGCCTCTTTTGGTGCCGGGCAGCTGTGCTGCTGTCCCAGAGCAATCCCCATCCCACTGCGTCTGGGTTTTCTACAGGAGGTCCAGCTCTGGCTGGGAGGGGTCTGGAGAACAGGGCTTATGAGAAAAGGCTGAGGGAGCTGGGGCTGTTCAGCCTGGAGAAGAGGAGGTGAGGGGAAACCTCATGGCTCTGCAACTGCCTGAGAGGAGGTTGTAGAGAGGTGGGTGTTGGGCTCTTCTCCCTGGTGACCAGTGATAGGACAAGAGGGAACAGGGTCAAGTTGTGCCAGAGGAGGTTCAGACTGGATATTAGGAATAATTCTTCACAGAAAGAGTGGGGAGGCCTTGGAACAGGCTGCCCAGGGAGGTGGTGGAGGCTCTGTCCCTGGAGGTGTAGGGGTGACGATTGGACTTGATGATCTTGAAGGTCTTTTCCAACCTGAATGATTCTATCAGCCAACAAACCCCTCTCCTGCTGTTGCTGCTGCACCACGGGAGCCGAGGGCTCGCTCACCCTGCAGTGCTACCCCGTGGTAACCCTGTGGGTACCTGGATGGGCTCCTGGGTGCAACCAGCTGCTTCAGAGGCAGCCTGCAGGCACGAAGGGCCTGGCGTGCCTGGCCGTGGCTGTGACTGCAGAGGGACCCACGGGCAGCACCGACGCACCTCGGTCGCAGGCGCAGGGCGACTCACCTGCTTGATCGTGAAGTCGTTGATGAGGTGGTGGTTATGCTCGTTCAGGTTACAGTGCAAGGAGACACAGTCGCTCTGATAGAGCAGGTCCTGGAGCGTGTAGACCCGCTGGACTCCCAGGGACCTCTCGATCCCATCCTGCAGGTACGGGTCGTAAAATATCACGTTGAAGCCAAAGGCCTTGGCTCGGACAGCGACCGCCTGCGCCGTGCGACCTGTGCGCGAGGGGAGGAGAGGGGAGCACTGAACCGATTCCCACCGCACGGCTGAGCTGCCCTGTGGCTCCCAGCCTGGCCCCTGCCACCTCCCGGGCTCCCCAGACAAACCCTGAAGGGATGCTGGCTGCAGGGCACACCCAGGCCACTCTGCACAGGGTGGGCTGTGCTTGGCTCTAGCAAATGGGAGATGCTTGTGTTACGTTTTTTTTTTAAAACAACCCAAGTGATGGTGAGGCCACCAGGCACCTGCCAGCTCAGGGCCGTGGCAGCATCCATGGCCATGCAGGTCTGCTGGGGAAGGCACAACGTGTGGCTCAGCCCCACCCAGGTGCAGCTCTGGACATGGCAGAGGAACAATCCTCTGCTGCGCTGCATCTACCAAGGAACGCTGAGAAAGGAAAGGAAAAGAAAAAACAAAACAAAACACAAAAAAACCAAAGCTGCCTTTTTTAGGCAACTTGTTTGTGAGGTTTTTCAGCCTCTGGCTGAACGGCTGGCTAATTGGGCATGACAGATACAACTGTCAGGGCTTAGAAGCAAGGGGCCACCACAGCCACTGTGCTGGGGAAGGGGATCTGTGGCCTGGCTGAGACCCCCCTGCCCGTCCCCACCCCGGGCTCTGCGGGCTCCGTCTGCCCTGCGTGCAAACCCTCAGCTAGGGATGTGTCTGCTGACTTCTCCAGCTGGAGGCAGCCGGGCACAGAGGTGCTGATGCTGTGCTCAAACTCTACACCTACAGCTGAGCTGAAGGGGAATTGTTTTACACAGCCCTGCCACTGCAGAGGGCAGAAGGGCTCAGGAAGAGCCCTGCTGATGCAGCTGTGGCTCGGGGATGGGTTTATTTTGGGAGAGGGCAGCAGCCCTAGCAGGTGTGATCCCTCCTGGGGCACTGCCAGGTTCCCCCAGCACTCCCCTGAGGCTCACAAATTACAACTCCTTCCCCGAAAATTCAGCGTGAGACCCCCCACTGATCCACCCTGTTGGTTCTGGGTTTGAGAACGCTCATTTCAGGTCCCTCCCAGGGCAGGGAGTTGGTGCTGGGCCTCTCCCCGGCGGGCTCACTCACCGAAGCCGATGAGCCCCAGCGTCTCTCCGCGGATGCGGGCGGCCCCCG